CTGACTTAATTTTTGCAGAAAAACCAGGCACGTGCACGAAATGGCCTGTGAAATTGTGAATGCTTATCATGTTAGTGAGATTTACAAACAGCCAGCAAAACAAAATAAAAATCTCTCATATGTGTCTGCAGTTCAATGATGCCCCGTCAAATCACAGTTTATAAATCCACTATAATTAAGAAGAGGATTCTATTTTGCGCATTCTAGTTTTCGGCGCGTCCATCGAGGTTAGTTTTCAAAACTTCTGTCATTATCTGGGGAAACGGGGTGAATGCGCACTGACAATATACCTCCGAATACTGGGATATTAGAAATTATTCATTCAGTTTTGCCTTTGATCACTGCGGCACGTTTATGCGTTTCTTGTAGCAAACATTAAGATGTGCTTCACGCTTAAAAAAAGGTAGAACACAGCTGGCTGCCATAAAAAAAATCTCTAGTCTTGTCGAGTAAAAAAACTAAATGTCTCAAATTCTATCCAAACTAGAATATAGAGAGGTTTTTGTTCAACAAGCTGTATTGGAGACTGATTATACTCAATGCACTTCCAGCTTGTACACAAACTTCATTGTGTGCAAGAAAAGCGTCAATTTAAGCATACGGTTAGACAAAACGGCCCGCTTTTTGCTTCGTCAACCCCTATATTATCGAATGAGTTCTCCGCAAAGCTTATATGTGAACATGATGAGACTAAAATTCAGTGGCCTTTGCCCTTACAGCCGCAAACTTATTGCTGCGACCACTCTATTCCACGAAAGTTGCGTCCGCTCTAAAGTACGCTACTGGAGGTTTCTGCGTGGGAAATACGCCAGCCATTCCCGAATTATGACCATAAAATGTGATATTGTGCATTCTAAATACAGTTTAACAATGGATTGTTTATTTACGTATCGATGGTGTCTTAAACTGATTGGTTAGTGCTTCTACCACAAACGAGTGGGAATTTTGTTTTCGATGCGCAGACACTGCAAGATGGTTGGTGGCCTGGGCGACTCACGAGATGATCCGATTGACATCAGCTCACATCATGTCGCACTGATTGATATAGACGCAATTTTCAGGATTTATCGTCCATTTTAATGCACAAATTTTTCCATAAATAGACTATCATGCAGCGAACAACCCATTATGACAACGTGTCTGAAAACATCACCTCTAAGCATAAAAGACAGATACATCTACCAAGATGTTAGCTTTAAGGCACAAAGTACCATGCTCAGCTGGGAGCATCAAATGATATAGTGACCAACAGACATCAGTGACGTCCCTGTTGCCACTTTCCATCTAGGTCATCTGACTGGGTTTTGGAGGTGTGGGCACCTAGGGTATGTTGTGGAATAGTCCCTGGTTCCTCTCTCAGTCTGAATTTTCCTCTGCAACATTTTGAGTTCTCATTCAAATAAACGGACTGTTTTATGGCAGTAAAGTAACAGTGTTCTCCATAGTAACACTGGTCAATGCTGGTGATGATTAAGTGTCGTGATTGAAAGTATATTCTCTCTCCAACGAAGGTGTTACTCAAAACTTTTACGCAATGTTCCTATTTGACCTTAGAACGCTTTTTCGAAAATTCAAAGAAACTTCATTTAAATGTAACTCTGAGGAATACCTATAAGTGAGACGTCCGAAGAGTCTCTAGAGGAGTTTAATTTTGAATAGGCCCAGACAACATGCTCTGACGTTCTGAAACCAACAAGTAAACAGTGTAATAATCACAGCCTGAATCTAAAGTTAAAACTTGTCGCTTTACGTTTTTTAAGTGTCACCCACAACCAAGTGACTTATGACAATTCAATAGTCAACATGCGCAATACATCACATAGCAAGTAAGTATAGAGAAATTAACAAATGCAGTCTCTGATGGGATCCAAATTTGTTAAATCTCTCCAGTAGCTCACTTCTTGTTTTACTTATCTCGCGACTCATCAAGTAGACACGGTCCACAAGATTGCCTCAATCTTATGGTGCACTTGAATACTACATTGTGAAAACTTGGTACAAAGCACTAGTTCAAAACCTGAAGACAAAACCAATATTGCTTGATCAAAGATTTCGAACTTCGAGAAAACATACGACAATATCTGTAATATCGTACCAACCGAAACAAATGGGCCTTGTGCAGCACATCCAACCAAAGAGCATTATAAATGATGGCTTCATCTGAATTTCCTAATAACACCAACTTTATCCCATTATAAGATTTACGTCACTTCATTCATAGACGGTGGCACTCACACAGTCCACTTCTGTGGACGTATAAAATCTCCCGTAAAATATTCAAGCGAATTACACCAGAATTTTATTAGCGGTACCATGCCAATGGTATATTCATTTCGACTCAGATCCTACAAACATGTCTGTCGTCTACAGCGAAGTTCAGAGGTATTATCAATCAGACACATAGAAAAACATTGGGAAATTCAAAACGTGCTAAAGTCGTTGTTGGTGCAAATCCTGCAAAACTGGAGGATTCAGATAGAAGCCTTCTAAATCACAGGGAAGTAAGCAAAAAGCGCAAGCGTTAGTAGATAATTTGTCCACCTCATGTAAGATTTTGTAACGCGCCAAGCGGTTAAAAATACGAAATTGGGCTTTGTAAAGTGCCACATGCCCTAATCGTACCAAAAATTCATATCACCGCTTCAAACAACGATGGATTACTGTGTGTAGTCGTCATTTACGCTTGTGTTTATCAGAGTTGTCGCTCATGTTATCCAGTTTTGAAACTATTCACTTTTGTTCAGTGTTATGCATATAGCAATTGTGGTCACTTGAGTAGGTGGCTTTTCTTCAAACAACGTTGATAAATTCAGAGACGGAATGATCTACTACAAGAGGGGATCACGTGGACCATGACGTTGCTGCTCTAGATACGATGTGAATTGACTGTTTAGCCTCACAATCGGGTGAGTTTACTTGGTTGAATAATTCAAAAGGCACAGTAGGGCAAACAATTGTGTAAGGTAAATCATCATCGCAAGAAATGGGAGAAGTCTACCATGATACGAACAGCGTAAAAACAGGAAATCTTGGATCAGTAAGCCATAAAACTGAAAACGGGCACTATCACCGATTGTCCACAGTTGTCTTGGATAGACAATGTGTTATGATTCATTAAATAGACTAGGCGTCCAGACTTAAAGGTTAAATCCGAGATGCCGGAGGATGTAAGCGCCGCCCGACGCACAGGGGTCGCAGTCAAAACCGATGCAAGACGAACGGAGTCATCAGTCTCAACTGCTGGGCCTATAAGGAGAGTTATTAATGGAGTATTGTATTCGTCATGTAAAGAAGCTTGAACGAACAAACTGGGTTTAGAAGCTAGATCTATGAAACGGATCCGGATCTCGTCTGGCTTACCGGGAAAGTTGCCAGAGAATATTTAAAAAATCTAAAAATTCCTACATAGGTACGCAGTATGTCAATGCAACTTGATCAAAGGAATAATATAGCTTTCACAGACAAAGGAAATTTCAGTTAGCTCCCAACGGCGACGTTTTTCTTGACTCTCCAATCCCTGACTTACCACAGTAGACTTCAGAACAAGATACACCCCATTGATCGCAAACCTCAAACAGGAAAGCAAAATATTCCGGACACGTCATTATTAAAAACTTCAACATGCCACTAACTGGTACGTCAATCAAAGGGTCGGTCTAGGAGATCCTCCACTAGAATCAGTCGGAGAAAGGTAACTGGTGAAAAATGAAGCTTTACAAAGGCTAGAGGCCGACAACGGTCATACCTTAGACGCCTATTCACGGGATCTTTCAAAAGCGTCTCGTTAGTTTGAATAACTTGGTTACTCGATAACGTTAAACTACATCTAATTTGGTGTAACTGGTAGCTCACAGAGAGGATGGACCCGCAATGAATGTTCGAAGGATAAATTTTCCACATTCCTTAGAAGTATCAACGACCATGATGTGGCACTTGCCTTTGACCATAGATCCTAGCCGCCTATCAGAATTTTGCGGGAGGCGAATAGATACAATATGCAAGCAGCCTGTCTATTTAAAACGAGTTGTCACAACTATTCGCAAGCTGCAGTCTACGGTTGTAAGTTAATGCCATAAGAAAAGTTTGGCTAGTTTACAGGGTTAGCACAGACGAGAGGGATTTTTGAGAGCACAAATCTCGGAGACGTAAATAAAAGTAGTTGAGCAACACCAAATTCTATGTTAGGTTGTTATTCATTGAAGATAGGGGACCAACAAGATTGTGCTGCTATATAAGGTATCGACTTCGTCGTTCGGAATGGCATTCGAATCACTGGTTTTAAGAGCTCAGAGTGGTTATTGTCACAGAATAGCCCGCCAACGTTTGAGCAGGATACAACACACCATAGCTCTCCGTTGATATCGAATGTCGGAGTGACGCTTCTCGCAGCATTTGGTGGATCTTGGCCATTTTACAACGGCTGGACATGCGGCAGTACTGTGTCTCAAACCGTTTTCTTCACACTATTGATGAAAAACCGCACTGGATTATGCAACGGCGGTGGAATACTATTATGCCACTTTAAAAATCAGTGCAAAGCACCTCTCAGATTATAGGCGAAGTCCAAACCCATGAAGGCATATCGGTTGTGCGCTCGGGATCATATGATGACCACTAGTTTTCTGGAAATTCTCAAAGACTTATCTCTCGTTTTTCATGTGATGAAAAATGTAACATCCTGGGAGAAGCGAGCAAGTATTGGCAACCAAAAACATGGCGTCCATGAGGAGGAAGTAGGAGACAAATACCAAGATCATTCTAATGGTTATTCCACCAAATCTGAACGTGTCAAAGGCTGATGCTATTACCAAAACCTCAGAAAGAGTTTACCGTTAGTTCATCACATACAAATTGGACCTGCACGATAAATACCTCATCTTCGACTGTATAGTTATACACAGTCTCTGAATGGCGCTTTAGGTATCACTGATTTGTGTCAACAACACTCCCATCACATGTAGGTAGAGACCGCGTAAGTCGCCATCGATATTTTCCAAAAGTTTTGCATTGATGCCATTGTATCGATTAACACAAAACTATGTTCTCAAAAGGATATTGCTAGTGGCGAACTTCTTTTCCATGGACTTCAGTGATTCTTCGACTTGTTTAAGTGTTGTGTCCAGCTGATGAGCGTCACAGTGTATGAAAATAGCTAATTACCTGGTTGTTTATGGCGTCTAACTCTTTTCTACATGCCTGCTCTGATTTTTTCAGTGACAGACCAGGCAGATCCTCGCTTTCACTTTCGCCCATACTTTCTAATGTCGCGCCGGGTGCGATTGCTAACAATACCGTGAAAAGTTATGCGCCAATTCCTAGGAACACAATGCACTCATCTGAAAAAAACATTTGCGGATGGATTGAAACTTTTTACATAAAAATGTAGCATTTTGCCGTGTGTGCTCAAACCATAAACCACCGTGATCTACCTTCATCTTGACGCCATTTGTTTTAATTACCCCCCATTTTTTATTACTGTCCTACATTTGTTTTTGTACTTGCTTTGCGATAAATTCAGAAGTGGCCGAGAAATCAAGGATTTTACCCTTTTCATTCTTCATGGTGTTTGAGGATGTGTTGAATGATATATGCAGGATAACTATGTGGTGTTTGTGCGTTCATTCAGTAAGCGAATAGCCAACGCTGCTTTGTGTTACGACTTTGTGTACTACACTTGCAGCAGGCGACCTGAAGACAAATTTAAAGTCAACGAATCCGAAGCAGCTAGAACGTTGAGTGTGTTTGTTTAATAAAAACCGGTACGCGAAGCACCGGTCGTCCAGCGTTTTTGTCTAAGAGGGCATGTAAACCATCTCCCGGTCACATCTTATTATCTTGAGGACAGCCATAAAGTTTTCTAAGTATTTGTACCATGAGTTTCCGGTAGATTGACGGCTAACCGAAAAGAAGTTGGGTACCCGCCCGGCCCTGCTGATTTATGGAACGCCGTCGTGTGAACTGCAGCAGTTTGCGGGCCATGTATTTCGGCACGGTCCTTAGCACTCAGGATACATAATAATAAGTTTATCTTAAACTTGCAGAGAACAGGCTAATCGATGTATGATCGGATCGTTACATCCACCCTGGGAAGTGCCAACCACCTCTGTTGAGTGATTGACGCATGGTCGGGTTTTGTTGTGGCAGATGATGTGCCTCCATCCTGGCAACCTTCAGGGGACAAGCCGCGCGCCTTCGCCGCTGTCTCTAGTAAGTCACTGTAGCCACGTGTGCTTCTCCCGATGACAGTAGATAGTGCTGTTGCATGGCTTCACATACATAGTAAATATCGATGGAAGACACGCGATAAACCGTTTTCTCTAAGTTCGTTTACAGCAACCAATATTTGGCTTGTAGATACAAAGTCTGCACCCTCTTGGTCACGGATGGCATACGTACCGGGCTTCCGGTTATGTATTCCTAAAAAGCGAACAGTTTGCTCCCCTTCGTAAACTGTTCGGCTGGTTCAGAGAACAGATGGACGAGCAGTATCGAATGAAGACTTCCGCCATTGACAAGATGGCGGCACAAATGCAGCAAGTGCAGCGTTCACCTGTGACGTCATGTTACGCTACTTTCATGTTAGAAAAGCTATCGGAAATTATGTATACATCACAGAACACCCAGATATTATTGGTCGCAGACATTCTGTGAACAACTGACACACATTCAGCACATGGCTCGCCTGGACAAAGCCGCACAGTAAGTTTTCCGCTTATAAGTGTACTAGCACACGATTTCCACGACACCCGCAACTAATGTTTATTCCCGAATTGTGGGTGTCATGCCGTTGGGCATGATCATAATGTTACAGTAAGAATAAAAGCGTGACTGGCGGGGGACTTTGGCCACAGGATGGGCTTATGAAAGCGGACAGCGTCGTAGGGGATGAGCATACTCAATGTAGGCGTGGTCACCACTAAACCGGCACAAGCATGGAAGCACAGTTACTGTGCGTTTTGGAGAGAATGTCGAGCAAGATCCAATAATTAGGATTTGAAGGTGAGGATAAAAACAAAGCGACGGAAGGGAAACCAAGAGACCTCCTGACTGACACATGAGAATGCGCAGTACCAACACGCGATTTGTCCGTTATTTGAATTCTCACTGATTGTGCATCACACGCAATAGGGGTTTACACGCACGAACCGGGATACTCTTTTACGGTGATGTGACCAACAATCCTCTGCAGAATGCGAACGATTATTAATATTTATTCCCAACTAGTGGGTATCATACCGTCAGGCATGATCAGAGTATTACAGTCAGAATAAGAGAATGACTGATGTGGGTAGCGAATAATGGGAAGTTCCTGGAAAAGGCACGGTGAGGTAAAAAGTGGGCATTTGCGAAGTAGACTTCATCACACCTGAGGTGGCATGGGTATGGATCCAAAATTACAAGGACTCTTTATCTTTTATGGAGAACATATCAGGTCTGATCATTAGGATTCAGAAGTGGCGGGCAAATACAATACGAGTGGGAGTATAACAAAAAGCCTTCTGCCTGGAACGGAACAAAAAGAAAAAAAAGACCTNCGAATAATGCATCTGGAGAAGCAGCGGAACTGCCACGTCATGGCTGGCCAACTTGAACCAAAGCCCAAAACCATCATCAGGGCTTCATTGTCTTGGGCTTTTGGGCGTACGGCCACGGAAAGCGTAAGTGGGGATGGTGAAGCGAGGTAATATGCAGTACGGACAAATAGTAGTAGGAGACTCAGAATCACAGTGTGCAGTGAAACTTGAGCGACTCACTAGTGTTGCTGCTGGAGCAGGGTCGAGTGTAAAAGCTACTTGGGAGAACGAGTTCATGCAAACTTTACGAAAATTGACTGACTTGTTGAGGAGTACGAATAAAAGTCGTCGAAATCTTTACATCCGACGGAAGGTTCGGCAGATTGCAATGCACGCCTCCCAGTGGTAGCTGGTGACAAATGAAGACAGGTTGTGGTTGCCGGTGAGGGAACGAATGTGCGATGGCGCGGTCACAGCAGGAAGTGAACATTTTCGGCTGTGCTACCAAACTGGGTACCACAGTGCCGCTCCACCACTGCACTGAAATACTTCGGCTTTTAGACGGCATCGTTATGGACGTCGTGATTGTGGTAGTTAGGCTGAGATGCGCAGTCCTGTGATCAGCGGAATGTTGTGCGTTTGCTGGGGGATTTCTAAGGGTGAGTAAAACCAATGTAATATCGCACGTAGTGTTTATTGTTCTTTTTTCTTTTTTTCCAGGTCGGGGATCCCTGCGTTCGTAGTGCGCAGATCAGGTGGAGTAGACAACGGCCAAACGGGTCATCTATAGCGCGTAGTACCATGGGTCCAAGCTTGGGGAGAAGATGAAACGAGATGAAATGAGATAGGATCAATCAGGTGTGGAGAGTTATAGGGGCCATCAAATAGGATATAGTTCTTTAATAGGGGTGAAAACGAACGACAACCACAGTTATGGCGGTCAAACCAGGTGGTTAAACCAGACGGAATAAGGATAGGTTTGCGCTCAGTAGTGTAGTCATTAAAGTCAAGGTAAGATTGCTAATATAACTATAGTACCTGAGACAGGACAGTCAACTGTATATGTAGGCTGAGGCAGCGTGGTGAGGGTAACCAAACACGTGACGACTAGCGGGGGTGTAAATTCTGAGATGGTAGACTAGATTTCCTGGATGTTATTAGTGAGTTGGACGGTACTAAAACAATCCAGGAGGGAAAGTGTATGTATGTCACCAGTCCCCGGAGCCATACTGTCAGCTTTAATCGATGAGTGGTGCATGGCGAAGATTTTCGATGCTAGCCTCGCATCCGGATAATGGAGAGTCTGGAATCTTACTGTATTTTTGTATGTGCTGTATTCGTCCACTCCTGGGATCAGCAAGCTGATGTGTCTTTTTGTTTGGTTGACGAGGTGGGTATTGGCGCGATGTAGCCTCGATATTGACGAAGGCAGCTACAGCTATGCACGTCGACGTGAGCCATGGCCATCGCAGACTTTCTTGGGACTATCACAGCTATATTGATTTTTTTGGACAGGCGAAGGGCCAGTTATTGTTGTTTATGGCATTGCCAAGTAACTCAACCGAGGCGAGGCCAACGCCAGCAGCAACAATCAGAAACCAGCAGTGCTCTTTTTACTTTTTTTCACCAAATTTAAAGGTCAGGCTCAAGATCACCGGCGATGTGCGATGCACCCGTGCTACTAGAGATGTGGCGGAAATGCGAACGCGCCATGGTTCAACGTAACAAAGCGCCCCCTGCAGGGCGTACCCATCCTCCAAATGAGGCCTTCATCCCTCTTGCATGCTACCAGAACTGCAGGGTGGAAATCCATCCAAGCAGCCATAAATGCGGTTTGTGCATTAGTCAAGTACTTCAGCTAACGGTTTTCTCCGGTCGGGAAGGGGAGCAAGGATAGCAAAATCAGCTTAGTCAATTCGAACAAGCAAACAGCAAACAGACACTGGTAGAGGCACGTCGCGGAGAATGCAGTGAAATGACAGTTGCCAATGAGACCGTGGAGACGGAATGGAGATATTCAGAGCGAGTGCACTGTGGCTAAACGGCAACTGGGCGTTGGTGTGAGCTACCATGTCGGGCAGAAGAGTACCGCGATGTTGTGTGTCAGTGTTTAGTGAGCCGTGGAGAAAATCATCATACAGATCTGATGTATATACATCGGCGTATAGTCTGCCACAGTAGTGAGAAAAAGCTGACTTTGGTTTATTTTTTGTCAGTTAGAGTTAAGTCGACGTCACCAATCACTAGACAGAGCTGATAGATTGATCCGGGTTATGGAGTTGACTAGAACGGTGCATAAATTGGTTGGGAAAAAAGGTAAACAGCCAGGCCGGTAACACAACATACGTTAAGTCCTACAGTGGATTGAATTAAGGAAGATATGATAACTGGATCTTTAACTTGCCTTAAAATTTTATCGCTGCTATACAAAAACTTGTACTGGACCCAATTCATATAAGAGGTCGTGGGTAGTTGACTTTTAAGGAATTCGTCCACGGTTTGAGAAAAGTATGATGATGCGTGGTGTTTCGTAGCTGCTCAGGAAGGCTGTTCTAGATGCGAGCGTAGTAAACCAAAAAGTAGTGGCGTATTTTTGTACGAGCAGGGAGGACACTAAAAGTTTGCAGGAGTTCCGGAATCGGTGGCGAGAACGTGAGTTTACGTTTGGTCTACCCTCTGCCATAAGGACAGTTTTGTGCGGCAGGTGGTGTAAGAGAGTTAGATCTATCTCGAATGGTCTGAGCCATG